ACCAGGGACAACTCCAGAGTGGAAGAGTGTCCAACCCCTCTCAAGGAAACTGGTTCCAGAGCCAGAGCCATGCATAGAGGTGAGTCCGACTATTTCTAGCCGGAACCTCTTAACCTCACACACCAGCTCAGGCTCCTTCCCAACCAGTGAGGTGACATTCCACATCCCAATAGCCAGCTTCTGTAGCCGAGGATCAGACTACCAGTGTCCCTGCTGTCGACCACCACCCATCCCACATTGCACCCGACCCCTTTGGCCCCTCCCACAGGTGGTGAGCCCATGGGAAGGGGGACCCACATCTCCTCTTCGGGCTGTGCCCGGCCGAGATCCATAGGTAAAAGCCCAGCCACCAGGTGCTCGCCCGCGTGCCCCACCTCCAGGCATGGCTCCAGAGTGGGGCCCCGGTGACCCACGTCCGGGCGAGGGAACATCGAGTCCATTCATTTGACTCATCATTGGGGTGTTTGGGCTGCACTTTGTCTGGCCCCTCCCCTAGGATCTGTCTGCCTTGGGTGACCCTACTAGGGGCATGAAGCCCCGGACAGCATAGTTCCTAGGATCATTGGGACACCCAAACCTCTCCAACACGGTAAGGTGGCAGCCCAGGGAGGGGTATACAGTATATATATATATATATATATATATATATATATATATATATAATGTATATGTGTGTGTGCATATGTACGTGTGCATGTATAAAGGTTTGTGTATGTGTGTATGTGTATTAGTCTTTCCTTTTCAACACAAACAGAAAGATTAATTTCTTTCACAGTTTATTGAAAAATTAGTCTAAACTGGGACATACATCTCAAATATTATAACAGTTATGGAACAGTTTTATCAATTTGCTACAAACTTATTAAAAAAAGAGGGTGTTAGATTTAAAATTTCTGCATAACCACATAAATTAATGAAGTGATATCTCATCTTCAGTATTGACAGTGCTGATCTGGTTTGTTGTGGTGAAGAAGGTTCTCAGCTGAAAGGAAATGCTCATGATTTACTGACTTTTCTTTGTTCCAAGTCCCGCTCATGTTCATGCTCCTTCAGTCAGTTAGCAGGTTATGATGTGTGCATTCCTTTCAGCTCAGTGTTGTAGTTTCACCTGCTGTTTTTCCGCTCTGTTTCTCTGGGTTTTGTGTTCATGTTTAACTTTACACTCATAAACCATAAGCTCAGTTTGGTACTTTGCTGTGGTCCTTCCAACACATGGAGATGTCTCTCTGGAGCAAAATGCATTTTTCAAAGGAACACTGCTGCAAATGTTGCCTGAGAAAATACATTGTACTCCTGCATGTTTTGGAGGAAAATATATAGGAAGCATGTCTGATTAAATATTCCCTAAAACCCTGCACAGCAAGCCGGAAACATTTGCCACGTTACAGTATAAACTTTGAAGCATATGAGGTTATGACGGAGAAGATCTTTTGTTTGGAAACTTCTAAATCCTTGTATGTTTTCTTGAAATGAGGAAAAAAAAATCATTGCTTGATTGCTAAATTATACATATGTGAATAAACAAATTTCTTCTTTCTATTCAGTTAAAAATCTTAAAAATAATAATTTTGTTTGCACCGTCGGGCATTGTTTGGCATTATAAATTACATGTTTTAATGTTGAATTAAAATCTTTATTATTTTTCCTTGCACTTGATAATTTTCATCAGGGGCCATTACACAACATCGTCTCTGACACATTGATGCACCTGAGTCTAAACAGATATCCACAAAATATTAGAATAATATGAGAATGTGAATCTGTGGCATAATAATAATATTAAATTTAATCACTGACAATGTGAACTTTGTAAATATTTTCTTGTTTTTTTTTTTCTGTTTGAGTGTCTGTAGCTGAGAGAAAACAAGTTAAACTAAGTAAAGCTGACCAGAGTGTGAAAACGGGATATTTTTCTAGGAAAATGATGCACATTTAATATTCACTTTTGCCCCTTTGAAAACCTAATTTTACTTAATATTTCATGATAAAATAGTAAATCTGACTCCCCCACTATGAAAATATATGTAAGTTAATAAATTATTTCCCAAAGCTGTGGGGTGTGAGAATTCTCTACCAAATAGCGTAAATCTTTTTTTATAAATCAACTTTTAGGTGGAGAATTTTTGAAAACAAAGTTTCCACGTTATGTATAATTTGTAAATTATTCACCTTATGTCTGATACAGTATTAGTTAACACCACATCACAGGTCTCAGAAGGATGATTTTATTTTAAAAAGGCAGGCTGTTCCAAGGTTAAGGTGCAACAAAATGTCCTCTGCATTTTAATCTGAAAATACATTTAAAGTCTTCAAAACAAACAAGACTTTAAATATAATTCTAAAACGAAGAGAGTATCAGTGGAAAGAAGGTAAGATGTGGTGTTGCATTGAGTCGGTATAAATAAATCTTACAGTAATGTATTAATTAGTTTTCCATGCAGGGTTGAAGAGACCTTCTGTATCTCCAGTAGTATTACGGTGGCCTAGTGTGGATAAAATAAAGCTGGGTTTGACTGTCAAACTGAATATGCTGTCAAAAATTCATCCATCCATCCATTATCTTTTATCTGCTTCTTCCATTTTGGGTCACTTGGGTCGCCGGTGCCCATGTCTGGCAATCACTGTGCGAGGGGCGGGGTACACCCTGGACGGGTCGCAAGTCCATCATAGCTGTCAAAAAGTCCACCCATATATTTCATAAGGCTCAGTAGATCCAGGCTTAATACTGCAGGACTTGTGGCGTGCAGCTGATGAGTAATATTTCAGTTTTATCTTCATTAGGTTAAAAAAGTTCAGAGCATGATTTAACTGACCGAGACAATCCAGCAAAGACTTCAAAGGAGTAAATATCTTCAATTGAGGAGATAGATCTATGAATCGTTGGCATAACATTGAAATGGAAGCCTGTTTAAACAAAAAATGGGTATCGGGGGTGGAAGTAACGAATTACAAATACTCACATTACAGTAATTAAGTAGATTTTTGGGGGGTACTTGTACTTTTATGAGTATTTCTTTCAAGTGTGTAATTTTACTCATACTTAAGTACAATTTAGACCATGTAATCTTCTTTGCTACTTTTAAAATCAGAAGTCACTACTGAGTACGGCCACAATTTGAATTAATATTCAAACTGTTCATCTGCATCTTTGTAGACAATAAGACTCTCAGATCATGAACGCGCTAATTACCTATGACGTAAGCAAAGGACAACTCCGAAGAGTAGAGAGTCATTTATGGACTGAAGATTTGGAGAAAAAGTCAAAATGGAGACAGAGGACAACACTGTCAATAGAGAAAATGACGAGGTAAAGGCTGAGGACGAGTGCCCGTGGCCGTACCTGGAGGAATGTTTCATGTGTAGAGGGTGAAAAGGAGACAGAGTCCAGATGTAAACTTTGTTTGATCTCTACAGTGATAGCAGCTTACAAGACTTCAGCATCTAATCTCTAGAAACATATTGTGGTATATGAGGTTTTACAGCTACCTGTATGATCTTGCTGTTTTATTGTTTGTATGTGTGGGTTATTAGTTTGGCTAAGTATGCAAAGATCTTAGATATTGTCACTGCCATCAGTTTAGCTGGTACTAAAATAAGGCGGAGCTTCTGAGCATCTGAGAAATGTACTTTGAATGTAGCTATTATATTTATATTTATTATATACAGTAAACCAAACTGAATGTCTTCTATTGACAGCACAATAAAACATCAACTGGTTAAAAAATAATTAATACTTTGAGTAGTTTTTGAGACGAGTACTTGGCACTTTTACTAACACCAGTACTTTAACTTGTAATTGAGTACAATTTAAGCAGTGGAACAGTACTTGTACTTGAGTGCAAATTTTCCGTACTCTTTCTACCTCTGATGGGTGTTGAACAGACCTTTAGGGAACACCATATGATTGTGGTGCTGGTGATCATGATGGACCCAGTTTGTGAGAAAAGCTTTGAGAATGTTCTTATTACGTGTGTACAAGTATTTTTTTATTTGGCCAAACAAAGAAGTGTAAATAAAACAAATCAGATTTTGGTGTGGGACAAACAGCCAGTGTTTTCTCTTCTTGACCCCCTCCTGCCTCTGTCATGTTCAGCTCCTTCCAGCAGTATTAAATAATGAAAGCAGAGGCCAGACCTAATTCCCCTGCATCAAAGAAAATTGCCCTTTCTTACTTTGTCCACTTCTCTGCTGGAGGCAGCCCAGAACTCTGCGTGTGCAGGGATTAACTCCATATCTCTGCTTTGAACCGCACTAGGTGGTGCCAGAGGGTGTGAACTAATGTAGTGTCACAAAGACGTCTGCTGCCATTTTTTCATGAAGTCTGTTTGCTCAAGGAAGGCTTGTTGGGCACAAGTGTGTGTGCTTTTAAGTAACTCCCTCTTTTGCAACCACACACACGGTTACAGCAGCCACACCTACAAGCTGTCAAGAGCAGGGACACGCATTTCTGTTGGTAACCTGACAAACAGAGACGAGAGGGTTGTCAACTTTCTGTTTTGTCACTCAGAACCCTTTGGCTTGGCATAACTCCAGAAACAAGCATGCCACTGTGATCCCAGTGTGCAGCCTCAACAACCTGAGACCTGGCTGTAAAAAGCTCTCTGAGAAACCCCTGCCAGGAAAAAAAAACCCCCACCAAGCTGTGTGTACTGTAGTGTTTTATTAATATCCTCTGTACTCCTACCGCAGTTGCATGTATTTTTTAACATTTCGGATGGGCACAGACTTACATCATGTCCAGGCAACCATGCTCGGATAATAAATTTTGCAGGCCTTACTATTATTTGTTTCACTGAAATATTCATTTTTGTCAGGTGTGCTGTGATAAGGTTGTGATTTGCACAGTGTTCACCACTCAACCAGCTCTACCTGACCAGCTAAGATGGCAAAACTCCTCAGTTCAGCAGGATGTCAGAAATATTTAGGACAAAAGGAAGTTTAACACAGTTTTAATTAAAACCAGATGAACACGGATCTAAGCAAAAAGCAATTTGTCATTTTTAGTTTTTAGTTTTTGCAGGAGGCTTCGATACATTCTTGTGTTCTGGCAGCTTTAAACAAGACAAACATGGATACTCATCCAGACAGGTGTTGAGATCATGGATCAAGGTTTTCCAAAGAGTCTTCTTACCATAGATCAGTACTATGGCTGTGACAGTGGTGTAGACTGAAGTGACAAAGAACGTGAAGCCAACAGAAGTGTTGTGCTTTATCACAACCTGGTAGTTTAAGTACAGGTCGACCACGAGGTAGATGAGAAAGTTGGCCACGAGAAGCAGAGACATCTGGATCACCCTCATCTGAGAGCCGAGCTTTGGGGGGTGAGCGCCGTTGTTGCTGGCCTTCATGTGGCGGAGATGGATGACCAGGTGGACAGAGATGGAGATGCAGCACTTCAGCATGATCATCCCCGGCACCACGTCAGAGAAGAGCAAGAAAACAACATCGTAGAACTCCCCGGAGCTGTTTTTTGGCAGCATCACCCCACAGTCGTTGTTTGTATGTTCGATCATGGTGTGGTTTTTGGCATGAAACAGCACCAGCATCGGCATGCAGAAGACCAGTCCGCACAATGGGATGATGAAAACGGCTAGGGTCACGTGCTTGAGGATGGCAGCTTGGATCTGCATGTAGCAGTGGTTGGGTGAGCTCACCAGTTTGGTGCTGTAGTAAAAGGTGAGAAAGCTGGTGTCCCAGATAATGGTGAACTTGAAGCTGAAGATCAGCAGCAGCAGGATCGTGTAGAACACCTGGGCGATGTAGCACTTGCTGTCCACCTCATTTATGGTCATCCAGAAGTAGCACACCAGCTGATGTGACACGTCGGCCACTGCAAGAGCAATGACGATCGTCTCACTGGGACTCCTCACCTTCTTCTCCTTCTTGTTCCACAGGCTCATCAAAAACATGTAGACGTTAAAGAAGACAGTTGTGACAGCCACCAGACCCATCAGCACCCAGAGGACCGGTTTACTCACTCCGAAACTCATTTTTACTCCAAACACAGCTGAGGAGGGAACTTCAGGATAATTCCTCCAACTCAACAGTGTGTGTGGCTTTGCTTGTGTTCTGCTGAGTTCAAAGAGACATCATGGAAGAAGCAGAAGCATTAAAACTGCTCACTTTAAACCAGACGATTCATCATATTCGTGTGACATAATGAAATCGGTCACAGTTTGTCAGCAGGGCCTGAGGAAAAGCTTCTCGCATTTAGCTTTTCATTTACATGAAACAGACACAAATAGGCTCAATTAAAGTCTTCTTAAGTTGTTGACAGTAAATGTGAAATCAGAAATATGGGTGGTCACATGCAAAATGAAGTCAAAATGTAATTTATTTTTCACCTGAAACGCAGCTCCCGTTGGTCAGCTGAAGCTTTTCTTTTCTTCTGAAAGTCTCTCACTAGCCTGTCAGTTGTTACAATATGGTGTTAGATTCAATTATTTATATGGAGAGTTCTTTGGCTCTGTTAAGTTTCATTCACCACCTTGAGTAACGAGCACAGGACAAGCCTTTGGATTCAAGAGTTTCCTAACAGGGATTTATATGTAAGAGCTGGATTTGCATCATGTCTGACCACGGGTAGTGGTGAAGTATTTGCTTTGGCACAGGTTGGACAAGATCTAATGCTTCCTATTCCTAAGTATTCAGCGACTGCACTGTACGTCTGCCAGTGCTGCATGACAGCTTTTCCAGTCCACAGACCAGAATCTACCACACGCCGCATGCAAATGGAGTTACTCCCGCAGCTGTGCCACACATTTACAAACACCAGACCAGCAGAGCATCCATTTACCTGATAGGAAAAACTAATCACCTTGAAATCACCTTTGGGAACCTGGTTTATCCAACACCCTATCACAATAATTTTGTGGAAAGACATTTAAGATGATGTTGACTGAAATTTCAGCTCCATTTAACATTCTTGTTTACTTGGAATGATAAGAAACACTAAATCAGATCCAAATTTGAACTATATCTATAAAAAGGTTGTCATATAAAAGAAAAACTATTTATTTTTACATTTCGAAATTGAGACAACTGTTCTTCGCTCCTTTCTAAATGTTTAAAGAAGAGATGATGAAACCCTGCAGTAAACGTCCCTGCCCCGTCCTGTTTGTGCTCGCATCTGATTCAAAACGAGAGAACGGAGCCTTTTTCTAAACGTTACATTTTAATGTGTTGGTTTATTTTTCAGATATCTACAATCAGTTTTTATGTTTTAGATAGTGAAATAACATTTTTGGAAACTATTTCATACATAAAATACTATTTTAAAGTGAAGTTTTGTGAGAAAGTTATAAAGAAATAACATCTTACCTGTTTTAGCTAGCTCAATAAACAGTCTCAGTTTGAAGATAAGAGTTTACACCTGACAGGACTTGTTCTAATGCAGCTAAAGCCACAGCTGAACACATTACATGTAAGTTACATGGGATTCAATGGTTAATTGCAAGCACAAATAGCAGCAGCAGCTAGCTATATCACTTCCATTAAAGATTAAGGTACAGCTGGACATTTCTGCTCAAGTAACTGTGCAATGGGAATGGACAAAACTGCAAAGGTATATAAAGCAAGGAAGGAGCGGTCTACTTCAATCCAAGGAATTAGATTATGAAATAATATGGAGAGTGATGTTCAAAATGCCAGATCAATAAGTATGTTTAAGAGAATGATCAAAGTTGGTTTGTTAAAAAAAATATGAAATAGCTTAATGTGTATTGGCATGATTTGTTGCTCGAGAAGGAGTTTTTTATTTTGTTTTTGTTATTTGAAGATTATTATCGTTTGAATTAATTTTTTGGTAAAAAGAGGCAGGTATAAGATTTTTTTCTTCTTTCTGCTGCCTTTCATTTTAGTTGTGATTGTATTTCTTATTGTATATTGAATTGTTTTGTTTTGTTTAAAAAAATGAATAAATTTATAAAATATATATATATATATTTTACATTAATGTACATGAACTTTTAAAAACTAAGCTGTTTGAAGATGACGGCAATCTGCTTTCAGAATGCATAAACCGTGACCTTATTGGTGATAACATACTAATGGCTTATCCAAAAAGATGGATACGGTCTTACAACCCTTCAAAATTCCATAGTTGTTCATGATTTTTAAACATTAACCACTTTTTTTTTTTTTATCCACAACATTTTTTTTTAAACAGTAATTTCAATGGAAATATTTAGAAAATCTCACCAAAACCGACAATGGTACAGCTAGCTGCTGCTCCAGCTTTTTGCTTTTACAAAAAGGTATTTAAAATAGTGTTTGCTACAAATACATTTTGGAAATTTTTTTTTAAGATAGAAGCAATCCACTTTGGTCTTGGCCACACTCAGATTAGCCATTAGATCTTCAGTCCTGTCAGTCTGTAGATTGTTTCCGTTTATCTAGAGCTCTGACTTGAACCCAGAAGTTAAAGTCATAATAGGACCAGATTTACCGACAGCTGGCTCCAGTACAGGTTTAAAGTTCAAGTTCAAGTATCTTTATTATCCCAAAGGGGCAATTTGTTTCACAGTCAGGCGCATAAAAACATCCATACTAGACAAGACATTGAGAAATTAAAATAACAGCACAGAGATCATCGTAGTTCCTTGAGAAACCTGATCACTACAAGAATGAATGAGTTTTTCAGTCAGTTTGGTCTACATCTGGGCAGCAGAAACTTGTGTCCAGATGGAAGAAACCTGAACTCACCATGGAGGGGGTGATCAGGGTCTGCCAGAATCAACCTGGCCTTGTTCACTGACCTCACTATTACTAGTACATGTCTAACCCTAAACCTAACCTACCTGCAATTCACGACTTAGTCCTAAACCCAACCCCTAAGCTCCCAACAATACTTATCCTTATGGGGACCAGGCTTTTGTCCCCACAGTGTAGGACTTTTTCAAAATTGGTCCCCACAATATAACCTGAAACAACGACCCCCCCCCCCCCCCCCCCAACACACACACACACACACACACACACACACACACAGAGGCACGTACCCATTCGTCCTATTTTTGTCATACGTCCTTATATTTCATGAAAACCCGTATATGCGTGTGTGTGTGTGTTTATGTGTGTGTGTGTGTTTAGGCAGGACTTAAAAAAGCCCCACATTCCTAATGTGCAGACTCTGGTCTAAAAAAAACAACATAACAGCTTTTATAAATCTGGTCTTTCTGGCTTTGTGTCAAACTGAAACAATATTTCTCCAAACTGAGGCTGTTCAAAGAGTTGTCCACATGTGAATTGTTTCAGTGCCTTGAAAGGACTTCTGTTGTGACTTGTCACTATATAAATAAATTGAGTTGAGTTTATTATTGTTCATAATTTTCTCACAAACCACACTTTAAAATGGCTGGACCATCCTCTTAACATTGTTCGTGAAGATCCATAAACCACTTGTTCTTGTGTTCCTCCAAAACACAATTTTATAATTTAAAATTATTTACAACCCAATCAAAAGTCCAATTTTTATTAAAGTGTATTAAAACCTAAAAAGGCTTTTTGTTAATGGCACATTTTGAGTGTGAAAAACAAACTCTGGACAAAGGAGCTCATTTTTGTTATTGCTATGGCAACTCTGCAACATCAATTTTTAAATTAAGGCAATTATGCAGTTTTTAAATGAGCTGTGATTAACTATTGCATCTTCTAACTCACTGTCATAATGCAGGTTAAGTATAAAATAATTGTTGTTAAAAGGGTTGAAACAGCCAGTTTGTGCAAAAAGACAGGTGACGATAAAAAATGTACACACAAAGGGTCAATTTGTGTTCGTCAACCAAAAAAACAAAACAAGAAAAAGGTCATGTCAAACACAGCAGGTGTGCCAAAGGTTGCTAGAATAAAAAAATAAAAAAAGAGGGGAATGGTGCTGCAGATTAGTGCAGCGTGGCCTGTGTCCTTCAGGGGACCAGAACATTTTATGTTGTTTTTGCTGATGTCCCACCATCTTTCACTTCCAGCTGCTGCTATTAATTCAACATCTTCTGAAGATGGACTCGGAGCAAGGCAGGGTGTTTTAGGAGAGTTTGGACCACGGGCGCAGTACTCTGCCTGCTGAGGGTCTCAGCTACCGGTTACACAGCCTCAACTCTTCATAGCTAAAAACAAGTTTTCTGGCTGCCATGGAAAACACCAGACAAACAACTTAAAAAGGCAATTGTGTTGCTCTTTCATGTGCAAAGAAAAAGTTTCCATTGGGGGAATACACACAGAGGAGAACTATGGGCCACGCAGACCTGTCTTTATAGGAATCTGACTTCAGAGTGCCTAAAAAGTTAAGGTTTATATTGATTTACATAAACCCTGGAGAATAACTTCATTTTTTTCCTCTTTGACCTTGTCTATACTCTAAGACTGGGGTTTTTAAACCCAGCTTTATTCCTCATTCATCAGCCTTTCTAATTAAAACTGCCTCAAACCTTCAACCACGTGCACCAAGCGATTAATCAGCTGGTTTTACGTCAATACAAAAATCCCCATTTTTAGAATGGTGCCAGCTCTTCTCAGTTTCACTGAGAGATACATCTTAAACGTTTTCCTCCTCAGCATTCCAGCCCAGAGGATGGCAAGACAAAAAATGTGCCTGAATGAGCTCACATGCAAAGCCTTGTTGACTCATCAGTTAAAAGGTTTTATTCTGTACATATAAAAAAGTATTAAACTCATTCACATGTTAAAAAAGCACCCTGATTAAATATAAAGTTCTTTGCTATATACATTTTACATATACCGGTAGTTTTGTCTAAATTTGTGAGTGTGATCAGTTTTGTATAGCGAGGTCCTGCTTTTTGTTGTGAAAATGTCTGCAGTCAAACACGTCCTTTGTTCTCCAGATTGCACTTTAAGTCTCTTATAAAGCATATTCTTCACGAGTCCTTTCACACGAGAAGTTTTTCCATTAAAAGTTACAGTTTTGTAGTTACACAGCGTATCCATATCGAGGGTCGTATTTAAAGGAAACACCTCTGGCCTCTGTAGAGGATGTTTCGTTACTGGTTCCTGCAAAGATGGGGGCAGATTCACTGACACTGGGCAGTGGGCTCGCCACGTCACTGTACTGGACCCCGTGGTGTGTGCGGTACCCCACCATAGATCGGATACTCGACACTCGGCTGGACGGTCTGCTCTCTGGAGCCGGAGCATCATGCCTGAGGGGAGAAAAGAAAAAAAAAGTTTGAATTAGTTCTGATCTGAGATATTCTTTTATTCCCTTTAGGCCTGAAACGCTCTCCCCATCTCTGATGCAATACCTAATTTCATTTGCAACCTCCTTCTGGTAGCGCTTCTTGTTGCAGTAGGAGAGCAGGAACCAGATGAGAAACAGGAGGAGGAGGAGCAGGAGCAGAGCACCGATCACGGCACCGGCGATGACACCTGCTTTATTAATGGCTGAAAGAAACAGGACACAGCGTGTAGACATCAAACAAGTGCAGCTCCTTTTCTGTGCACTCAGAGAAACTTTGTTCACGCGTGAATCAAAAACAGCTAAATCAAAGCCCCAGTATTCCTTGAAGGAATGCAGATCTGATCAAACCTTGTAAACGCTGTGCTTGATTTATGTTGCGAAACTTCACAAGAGCAATTGCCGCTCAAAGTATGTTTGAAGGACAACTCTCAGCTACTACAGCATCAAACTTTAGCTTAGTATCTGTAAACTTGACAGAGATACAGCCATTTTTGTGTTTGTTAAGGTTGATTAGCTGGGATGGCCACCTTGAAGTGGGCTGGCTCCAAAAGCAAATAATTAGTAAAGATACATTCAATAATTACTTCCACAAAGTTTTGTTCAAATCTGTCAAATGGTTTACAAGATATTTTACTAACAGACAGTGTTGATGCCAACTATTAATATCAAAGTTTTAGGCACTGAGTGTATTGTTTAATGCTCAAAGTGTGTTCTGAGAGTTAGTCTCAGTTAGATAGATATCTGTGAAATTGACTGAAATAAAAGACTTTCTGTGTTTTCTACAATCAGCTGGTTATGGGAGTCATATTGACTGGGCTTGACTCAAAGGTAATCAGTTGTACAGGTCCTTCTCAAAAAATTAGCATATTGTGATAAAGGTCATTATTTTCCATAATGTAATGATAAAAATGAAACTTTCATATATTTCAGATTCATTGCACACCAACTGAAATATTTCAGGTCTTTAATTGTTTTAATATTGATGATTATGGCATACAGCTCATGAAAACCCAAAATGCCTGTCCCAAAAAATTAGCATATTTCATGCCACCAATGAAAGACAAGTGTTTGTAATATAAAAAACGCCAAACTTCAAATAATCATGTTCAGTTATGCACTCAATACTTGGTCGGGAATCCTTTTGCATGAATGACTGCTTCAATGCGGTGTGGCATGGAGGCAATCTGCCTGTGGCACTGCTGAGGTGTTATGGAGGCCCAGGATGCTTTGATAGCGGCCTTAAGCTCATCCAGAGTGTTGGGTCTTGCGTCTCTCAACTTTCTCTTCAGAATATCCCACAGGTTATCTATGGGGTTCAGGTCAGGAGAGTTGGCAGGCCACTTGAGCACAGTAATACCATGGTCAGTAAACCATTTACCAGTGGTTTTGGCACTGTGAGCAGGTGCCAGGTCGTGCTGAAAAATGAAATCTTCATCTCCATAAAGCTTTTCAGCAGATGGAAGCATGAAGTGCTCCAAAATCTCCTGATAGCTAGCTGCATTGACCCTGCCCTTGATAAAACACAGTGGACCAAAACCAGCAGATGACATGACACCCCAGTGACTGTGGAAACTTGACACTGGACCTCAAGCAATGTGAATTCTGCGTCTCCTCTCTTCCTCCAGACTCTGGGACCTCGAATTCCAAAGGAAATGCAAAATTTACTGTAATCAGAGAACATAACTTTGGACCACTCAGCAGTAGTCCCAGGCGAGATGCTTCTGACGCAGTCTCTTGTTCAAAAGTGGCTTGACCTGGGGAATACGGCACCTGTAGCCCATTTCCTGCACATGCCTGTGCACGGTGGCTCTGGATGTTTCTACTCTGGACTCAGTCCACTTCTTCCGCAGGTCCCCCAAGGTCTGGAATCGGCCCTTCTCCACAATCCTCCTCAGGGTCCAGTCACCTCTTCTTGTTGTGCAGCGTTTTCTGCCACACTTTTCCCTTCCCACAGACTTCCCACTGAGGTGCCTTGATACAGCACTCTGGGAACAGCCTATTCATTCAGCAATTTCTTTCTGTGTCTTACCCTCTTGCTTGAGGGTGTCAATGATGGCCTTCTGGACAGCAGTCAGGTCGGCAGTCTTACCCATGATTGTGGTTTTGAGTAATGAACAAGGCTGGGAGTTTTTAAAAGCCTTAGGAATCTTTTGCAGGTGTTTAGAGTTACGTCGTTGATTCAGACGGTTAGGTTAATAGCTTGTTTAGAGAACCTTTTCATGATATGCTAATTTTTTGGGACAGGCATTTTGGGTTTTCATGAGCTGTATGCCATAATCATCAGTATTAAAACAATTAAAGACCTGAAATATTTCAGTTGGTGTGCAATGAATCTGAAATATATGAAAGTTTCATTTTTATCATTACATTATGGAAATTAATGACCTTTATCACAATATGCTAATTTTTTGAGAAGGACCTGTAGATGCTCATTTGAAGTAGATAAACTTACGGTTGTATGCTCTCAAAGCGTATGTGCACTTGTCTTGACCGACGGCATTTTTTGCCTCACACATGTAAGTTCCAGTGTTGCTGTCCGTGTGGTTCTTGATCAACAGCTCTCCACTCGTTGAGTCTGAATGAAAGAAGAGGAGTGAGACATCACAAGGACCATGTGGATGTGCAGACGGGTTCATGCTGAGCTGCTTACCCTGTGTTGCAGTGGCCGGCATCGCACCGCCGGTCTCTCTCGTCCACACATAAGAGAGAGGAATGGACCCCTGATAGGATTTACAGCGCAGGGAGACTGTGCCACCTTTCTCCTCACTGCCTTCAACCCAACACTTTGGCTTGGAAGGGGGAACTAATAAAACAAAACAAATTAACACGCAGGGTATGAACCTCTGTGGAGGACATGTTACATTTAGTAAATTCATTCAGGATGTTTAAATACCGTCACGAGGAAAGACCACCAAAGTTTACTTCCAGTGTTACATATTAGGATATTAGAACAATTGTCTGGTCTTTTATCAGGTTTTGAAACAATCCAATAACCTCAAGTGTCCAGAAATGGACAACAGAACCCACCATGTTTTTATTTATTAACAATTTTATTAACCCCCACCATCTGCTCCCAGATGGTGGGGGTTAAGAGCTTTGCTCAAGGGCCCAGAGTGGGGCAAATAAGGGTGGAGGCTAGTGTGGGTGCTTTACCTATCCCACTTACATTTTGATGTTGTCGGAACCGGGAGTTGAACCAGCAGCAAAAGCCAAAATGGAAAAACTGATGGTCAAAACTTCAGCTTAGTGGCTATTTTCTGTTGGACTTTACCATTCTTACATGGTTGTGGAGGAATAGCACACTCTTTTTTAACAGAACTGCTTCAATCCTTCGAGGTTTTCAAGCATTAGTTTCTGCTCGGCTCTTGGAAGGTCCCACCACAGTATCTCAGTCAGGTTGAGGCTTTGACTTTGAACCATTCCAACACTATGGTTCTTTAATTTTCCACTCTGTTATAAATTCGCTGCTGTGTTGGGATCATCGTCTCATTTTATGACACAGTTTGGTCCAAGTTTAATCTGTCAGATAAAAATGGCCTCACAACAGACTCTAAAGGAGGTCATAGTACCCAGGACCTCTGTCTACAAAACAAGCCCAAACCATCACCACTCCACCACCCTGTTTGACAGTTACCCATGGGGTGATGTTTAAATGTTTGGTTTGTTCCAAATATATCAACTTTGGTCGTACTTGTCTAAAGAGCATTGTTATAGAGGACTTGTGGTTTATTTAAATTAAACTTTTTTTGGCTGCTCCCTTCTTCAGCGGTCGCCACAGTGAACCATCTTGCATGAAGACTTGGCAATTATTTTTACACGGGATGCCCTTCCTGATGCAACCACAGACCATCGAGCTACCGCAGAACTCTGTATGGAGCAGAGAGCTGCCATCATAGTTGCCAAATCCACTTATTATAAGCGACTTTGGGCTTGTTTTTTTCTAAAGTCGCTTGCAAATCTTGTGAGTCGTGGGTTGCATTTTTTGGGGCTTGTTTTGAACGTGAAGTTGCTTATTTGGGCTTGACTGTCTTTCCGACTGAAACTAGTTGATTATCTCCCAGCTCCGCACAATAAAGCAAAAGACGAGTGGTAGTAGGTAGTTTGTCTCTTCCACACCCCCGTTTCCTGTTTATCGCTCCCGCCCAAGTTGGCGAGGCGACAGGTGCACACAGACATATACAAACACATCTGTGGGCATGCATACAGGGCGCACGACCCAAACACTCATACTGTGGCCTACGACTAGGGGACTCCACTAACTTTCAGATGTCAGGATGTTTTGTTTTTAAAAATATGCAGAAAAAATTACATATGCAAAATGTATTTTTTTTAATCAAAGTTTAAAGTATGTTATTCAAAGTGTTTAGCATAATTTTGCTGTTGTTTATATGTAATGCCATAATAAATATATGTTTATACTGTTTATAAATGGCCTCCATTTTACACAATGTGGTGGGTTGCCAGTTGGGCTTGTTTTGGGCTTGTTTTCATAGAGCTGGCTGCTTGTTTCTATCACGAGATCTGGCAACACTGATAAGGAACGCAGGGGAGCAGATGGTGGGGGTTAAGAGCTTTGCTCAAGGGCCCAGAGTGGGGCAAATAAGGGTGGAGGCAAGTGTGGGTGCTTTACCTATCCCACCCACATTTTGATGTTGTCGGAACCGGGAGTTGAACCAGCAGCAATTTTCCAATCACAGGCCCACATTCTCTAACCTCTGAGCCACCACCACTCCTCCCACCACCTCCACTTTCACCTCCAGCTGTTCCAAACAAGACATACTTGTTCAGTCTATTTTACTTGGTTATGAACTTTAACCTGGTAACTAAAGCTGACATGGAGGTTTTTCTCCACCATTTGCAATTGTTTTATTATGGTTAGCATTTGTTTTAGCTACCTTAAACATTTTTCACTTGTGAAGCATCACTGTCTGTAGAATTGTAGACTTCAAATTCTTTGGAAATGACTAAACTCTCCCCAGATTGCTGGGAAGCAACATCTGCTTCTCTAAGATTATTGCTAATGTATTTCCTTCTTGTCATTGTGTCAACACACACCTGTATGCTTCAGAGCAGAAAACTGACAAAACTTTGTACGGTTGATTAGCAGCCCCTGGGTGCTCATTTCACACAGGCTTTTACATTTTGGTTTCATTTTGTTTTAAAACAAAATAATTTATTAGCATGGTGGAATACATTGTGTTTATGTCCATCTGAATATCAAAGTTTATGCTCAATCATCCAGGTCCAAAATCCAATAATGGTCATTCAGGTAATCTGGATAGTCTATTTGTTTGTGGAAATACGTTTTGCCCTCTATCCCTATACATGTATGTCTATATCTATACATGTTTTCTCTGGGGAAAACAGTGACCATTATTGGGCTAGATCTGAATAATTCTATAAACCTGTTAAAGGACCAGATCATTTCTACTATATCCTGAGATTAAAAACTTTTAGAGTTGAAAGGAGATAGACGTCTTTTTCCTTTGACCCTGTCGGTGACGTCCACACCGGAGTGTAAAAGCAAGGTGAGAAAAGAAAGTCTCACATTCCATGTCAATGACAGCAGCCTTTAAAGAACAGGAAGTTGGAGATAATGAACAGGTAAAACTGGTAAAAAAAGAAATGCCTCCTCACCCAACACAACTAGAGTGACTTTTCTCATGTCAACGCCTGGCGCCTTCTTGACTTTACACTGGTAGGTGCCGGTGTCTGACAGTTTCACACTGGAGATGGCGATGGAAGCGTTTCCTTGCTTTGGGTCTGTCAAGAATTTTAATCTGTTGGAAAAGCTGGAGTCGTAGAAGTGCGTCTGGCCCCCTGAATATGATAAAATCTGGGATGCAAAGTTTGCAATGAGAAAAAAAGATTGTTTTGCTTCCAGTAAGAGAGCTGAAAACAAAAAGGGAACTCTAGCCCTCATGTGCATGCTTCACGCATGCATCATTTTTGTCCAACACCTAGACTGGTTTTGTCAGTCTGAACAACAATGGACAAACCTTACCAGTTTGTCTTTCTGTGTCATGTCGGGGCTGACGTTGGACCACTCGATGTCCATCTCTCCGGTGTCCGTTGTGGCTAGGGTGTAGGTGCATTCGAGGTTGACGTCTTGCCCCAGAGGCTTCTGAATGGTCTGCGGCCCCGATGATGTTATCTGCAGCGCCTCTGTCGCACAAACATTCAGTTCAGACTCACTTCTGTTGCGTTTGCAGTTTTTTTGTTTTTCTAAAGATCATGAATTTACATGCTTTCTGCTTAATGATATCCTCGCTCTGGGTTGAGCAGACTCAGGGTGGAAGAGGAGAGCCAAAGTGAGACTAATTGGCCTCTCAAGCCAGCTGAAGATTTGAGACTTTAGAGCCCAAATATAGAATTTTATTTCCAAAGGTTTAAGTGATATATTTTACAAAATGAGCTGCATGCTAATTTAATGGAGGAGGCTCATTAACTGTAAGAAATATATGAGCAAATGTTGATTAAAATGGAGTGGATGGGCAAAAATGAAAAACACATAGTTGACAAGTGGCAGTTTCAAGCCTTCGACACACACCCTGGTGACTCACTGCTTTTATGACCAGGGATTTTAATTACTTGACAAACATAAAATGATTTTTCCCCCCTCTGCAGATGATTATTAACAAGCGGCAGTACATTTTAAAACACATCCAAGTTCCTCATACTAGCTCTGATTTAAAAAAAAAAAGTGTTTACATTTAGATGTTAAACCTTAAGTAAACGTGTAAGTGGAGCACAGATCCTCGTCTCTACCGCCTCTTGTTTTAAGCTCACTATCAAACTCTGAAAGCACTTCAGTGCCACTGCAGCAAAACAAAGCATGTCACAGGTATTTATGAAAGCCTGTAAATGTCAGATGCGATGAAAGGAAGCGGAGAAAAAAAACCTTTGAATCTAGTCAATCAAATGTTTACTCCATGAAAGCCCCCCTGGGCCAAACTGTTGTGAGGAAGATGATGTTTTCTTTCCACTTGCCAGAAAAACCCAGTTGCCAAGCTTAATAAAGAGCTGAATATATTCCAATCCCCTGCACTCTTTTCCACCGGATAACACGTTATCTTGGTGTTGAACAGGGAGTCTGCATCAGAACTTATGAAATCAATCAGCAAATGTTCTCATAGAAAAATGGAGAAGATGTGGTGCCTTAAAGGGAAGTGGGAAAAAATTATCACCTGATGCAAGCATTAGATTTCATTCATGTGTTTGTATCTGAAAATAACTTGGGAAGAGACCCAGAATTAATGGCTCTCTTTAAGGAGTATGTATATAAAAAACAGAGTGATTTCCATTCACAACAGTTTATTTTTTAATAAAAAGTATGAATATTATTCCGGAATGTTGTCAGTGTGTGTCCCCGATTGGTTGTGATGTAATTCAGCAGTCAGAACGTGAGAAAACAACATTTTTTATGGTTTTATTTGAAACTATCTGTGGAAAATGAAACTCACCTGCTGTCAGCTGATTTGTTATCAGAACCAGCACAGCCACCTTCAGCCACACGCTCGTAAACACACCGGGGTCCATTTTAACGCTGTCAGCTACACATCAACAAATAGATTGTTAGAATCTCATTTCGGTCACAGCGTCTCATCCATGACTGTTTTGAATTTTCAAACAACGACAAAAAAAAACAAGTGCCGTTTCTCTCGTTTGCCAAAAATAATAGTGAGTGTTTAGCAGCAGACAGACAAAAATGATCTGTCAGAACACACTACCAAGAAAATCAGGATGTGCAGATGAGAGAGGACAGACAAATAAAAGTACCTTGAGGAGCGAAAAGGGAATAATTGTCCTCGTGTCCTTGGAGGCCCTGCTGCTGTGTGGGAGCTGAGGAAGGTGGCTTATTTTGCTCTCAGGTGAAACTCAGCAGCAGTAACTATGGTCACACCCTTTCTGTTCATAGTACATCTGTTAGCCACTCCCAGGGCCCAGGACTTGTCAGACCTCCTTCTGTCTGCCGTTTAGCTCCGACATCTCTGTTTATCTTTACTCAAACAGAACGTAGCTGCGTTAGAGGAAAGGTTTAGAGCAGAAACCAGCGTGCTCTTGAAATAATCCTGTTGTTATTTGGCTCCTTTCGTTTACAGGCCTGTATGTAAAGCAGCTGCTGACAGAGGGGAATGATAACAGGTCTGTCTAAGGTGGTTTAACTACTTTGTCACTCTTCTGCTTTTTTTGTGTTTATCACCTGCTCCCATTTGTCACCCGTCAGCTGAGATCCCTGACTGCAGGTTTGTCTCTGCATACCAGGCTTTCACATGCTGTTTTACACACTGACAGCTTAAAAAAAACAAGTTTTTCACATTTATAATTGTTTTCTTGTTCAGGTTACAATTTATTTATTCAGGTTATTGCCTGTTATCCTTCATAGCAGAGTTTTAAACCGATCATCTTATGATGATAAAGGACAGTTATAGCTGTTCTTGTCCACTCTTGCAAATCATGCAATGAAAAATCTCAAATGACTGTAAGTTCCTCTTGTCCCTCAGAGTACGTGTTGAACATTATTATCTGCTACTACCACATCAACATTTATCTCAATATGTGTGAAATCGACTCCTTTAGCCATTTTGTGTTTTCTCTAGTTCAGGGCTATACAACTAGTGGCCCGGAGGCCAAATCAGGCCCACAGATGAACTCAATTCAATGGGTTCATTTTAAATAAAACTAGATTTTAAACCATAAAACAAACTTACTTAAAGACAATAACTGCTGGATGTCCGGCCCCTGAGCTTATGACTTTTAGTAACTGTGCCCCCTGAGCAATTTAGTTGAACAGCCCTGATCTAGTTGATTAGCTGTGGCAGACATCTTAAATTGGATTAACTTCAGAATTAATCAGATAAAAAATTCAAAGTTCAAGGTGACTTTACTGTCATTTGCGTCACATGTGGTACATGAGGTGGAATGAAACTGTGTACTCAAGATCCCAGTTACACCAAAAAACAGCAAAAATATCCATCCATCCAATATCTTTACCCGCTTCTTCCATTTTTGTGTCGCGGGGGTCGCCGGTGCCCATGTCCAGCAATCACTGTGCGAGGGGCGGGGTACACCGTGGATGGGTCGCAAGTCCATCACAGGGACACATAGAGACAAGCAAACATTCACTCTCTCACTCACACCTAGAGACAATTTAGAGTTACCAATCAGCCTAACATGCATGTTTTTGGTCTGTGGGAGGAAACTGGAGTACCCGGAGAAAACCCACGTATGCACGGAGAGAACATGCAAACTCCAACCAGAAAGGCCCCTGGACCGGGGGTTTGAACCAAGGACCTGCTCATTGAGAGGCAGCAGCTCTACCAGTTGCGCCACCGTGCTGCCCTAGCAAAAATATAAACATATAAAAAAGAAACAGTATACAAGGATCTAAGACATACGTAAACAGTAATAATATTATATAATATAGTGTATTAAACAGCAGCCTGAACATGAGTCATTAAATAAAAACATAAAAATGTACAACCAACAATTACTTTTGAAGAGTTTCATCACAATCTTTGCAGTGATTTGAGTTATTTTGCTAACAGATAGACAGTGTTTACTCTAACAGTTAATGTTAAAATTTTGAGCAAAGATCCTAAACAATGTATAACACTCAGAGTATGTCTTCAGGATGACTCTCAGCTACTACAACATTATGTTTTAGCTCAGTTTGTGTGAAACTGATGGAATTATGTTGCTAAACTGTGGTGGATCTTTTAATATGGGGTAACTCAAAAAGGTAGTGAGTTGTAGAGTTTTATCCAAGAAATACACATTTAAAATTTTTAACAAAATCAATTCTGTGTTTTGTGAAATATTTTGTTAACAAACAAACAGGGTTGAGACCAACAGTTAATGCCAAAGTTTCGAGCAAAGATCTTATGCAATATGTAGTTTGTGGATTATACACTGGAGATTACTTTCAGCTTCCACCATGGGAAAATTTAGCTCAGTATCTTTAAAAATACTTGAGGTACAGTATAGGTATTTTTTGTGTTTGCTATGGTTGATTAGCTGTGGCAAATATCTTGAATTTGGTTGACTCCAAAAGTTAACTAGTTGGAGACATACATTGTCAACTTTAATATTTCTCACGTGATTGGGATGGTACGAGATAAAAAGTTAACAAAAGAAAAGTACTTCGGACAGTTGGTGCCATTTTGTAGTTTTCTTTGAATAAGTCCGCTGTAACGCCAGTCAAAAGAACTACACTACCCAGAAGCCAACAGTGCTTCCGGCCGCTGCTTTCTGCCGAAATGGCAGCAATGGAGAGAGGATCTATCTATTAAGCTCACAGAACTGGCAGGCAAGTCACAAATAATCCTGAAGCTGAACTCGTTCTTTAAGTTGTATCTTCACTGGTGAGCACCTGGGCTGCAGTTGACCTGGACTCAGTGTGGACCCGGATCCTGGGGGCTGCAGGGAACAGACCACGGCGGGGTTTGGCCTGATTCTGGTCGCGCGGTGCTGGTCCAGACCCAGGCCTAGGTGGTTGACTACATTCTGGGCAGCCTCGTGCGCAGAGTGTCCTTCCTGGAGCGGCAGCACATGCACATCAACCTGGACGAGGCAGTGGGCTTTGTCACACTGCAGGGTAGCCGGACTGAACTGAGCCAGACCAGAACCGAGCTTCTGCAGAGCTGGTGAATACTCATATGAAATTTTGCAGTACTGTACAGTACACATATGTTGTTAAAATTACATATGTTTTGCAAGCGTGTATGAAGGGTTTATAAAGCATTAATATATAAAATAAATATAGAGTTCCTACTTGGCGTCTTTTCACCTATCATGGGGGTGCGTGGAAAGTAACCCCCGCGATAATCGAGGGACTTCTGTACTGTAGATCTAATGATTACTTTCTGAGAGCTTCATTAAAACCTGCACAAGGATTTGGGTGATACTTTGCTAGTATAACACATATGTATGCACACTCACACACCTTCAGCAGCGATCGATAACTAACCTCTAACAGACCTTCATGACTCAACCCAAAAACGCATTCACAGTTGTTCCTCTCAGATACGGCAGCCAGCATGGATGTGATGCCAGTAAACTGTAGACAACTGCTCAAGTTCTAAACAAAGCCTTTATTAGATGATTAAGCTTGTAAATAACCTGAACTTCCTATTAACTATGAACAATTTAATTAGCAGTTTACCACTGAAGGATGGGTTTTATTAAAGAGCTCCTCATAATCATTTTTAAAGCATACACCTTCAGTGTGTAGATTCTGGAAGTAGCAAAAGAGACATTTTGAGTGAAGCTGGATGGGCTGGTGGTGATTCTGTATTGATTGCAGCAGAGTTGTACAGTAGGATGTGAGCGCGCAGGAGCGTGACGTTAGCCATTAGGAAACTCAAGTGCTGGGTTAATGCCATCCTGCCAATAATCTTCATTATGGGGATGAACAAATGAGTAGCGCTCAGAATGAAACATGATCAGAAAGCAAATCTGATTTCATCACCTCCTCCCCCTTTCTCTGTTGCAAGCAATGCATTTTTACACTGGACGCCTGGGCTCCATGCAGAGTGTCTGACCTTGCCCTTTGTAAAATAAAAAATATATTAAAAAAATCTGTTAAGCAAGGTGTTCATGCAAATGTCAGAGTTTGTGTATGACTAAGATACGACAGCTTTAGTAGCAGGAGGTTAATTGCCCACCCCGTCCCCCTGGGTCTAAGTGGACTGAACAGACTGTGTAACAAGCCGACATTTCTGGGACACTGAATGAGAATGACATTAAGGTACTGTCCACACGCAAACACTGTCTTTCAAAAACCTCTTTTTACTTGTTTCTAAAAATATCCATGTGAACTTAACACTGTTTTAATAAACGTCTTGGTCCACAAGGCTGTGTTGCCAACTCCTCAGTAAAAAGAGGCTTTAGGAAATCCTAAGTTACTAGATGTAACTAAATGATGTCATCAATTAAGTTGTGTTACTATTCAAATATAATTAAGGTTGTGGGAGAAACAAAAAGTCTGTAAAAACTACCCTAGATTTTTTTAGATCTACAAATGAATTACATTCTGTTTATTCTTGTTTTTTGTTTAGTTTGTTTAAAAAATTCAGTGATACAGTTCCAACCATCCTCCTTTACCCTGCCAAAAGTGGAACACAAGAGATACCTGGAGTTGTTTTTGTGCAGTAATTTATTTTAATCAAAGAACACACATTTCCATTGTACATACCGGATTCCAAAAAAGTTGGGACACTAAACAAATATGTTATATTACGAATAAAATATTGGCATTTGCCATCTCCACATCATTGCATTCAGTTTTTATTCACAATTTGTTTAGTGTCCCAACTTTTTTGGAATCCGGTTGTACATTGTCACTATGGACCTGTCATTGGCAGTTTCAAGCATGTACGATTTATTTGCAATCTGGACACAGAGGGGTGAACATCTGCTCTGACTGCAGGGAAGGACCTGTCACATGACTGAGCCACCGGTCAGGGCTTTGACATGGGAGGGGTCCATGGCAGCATCTGCTTTGAAAAGGTTAAGAAAAATGTGTTTTTGCATCAGTCTCCCCAAAAGTCTTCAACAACTCTTTAAAACTACAAAAAGCTGATTTATTCCTTTTTTCAGAACCACAAGAGGGGTCTGAATACTTGCTAAAAGTAGCAACAAAGGTGCTAAGTTGGCAGCACTGCCATGCAGAAACAGAAAACAACCCAAAATGTTGTAGTAACTATGCCAGGCCTGTGTGTGGTGCTGTAACACTGCACTAAAAATACACCAAAACCAAGAAAGAAGACTTGATACTTTAAATTTTAGACTCATTTCAGTCCAAAAATTCAGACACAATTGAAATTTTCAGGCACAGAATCCACCGAGGGACAGCTGGAAGAGGATCTGGTCAAAGCAT